GGTAGTACTAACATTATATGTGTATTATGATACACTAACTGGTATTTGGTAGTACTAACATCATATTTGTACATGTATTATGATACACTAACTGGTATTCGGTAGTACTAACATTATACTTGTATTTTGATACACCAACTGGTATTCGGTAGCACTATCTTTTTATGCGTGTTATTATACAATATTTGTATTTTTGTTTCAATGTCTCTAGATAACAGTTCCAACTGAAAATGTTTGCATGATTCAATAAAAGCAAAGTGTGTAGTAATATTAACAGTACTAAATGTCTGACAGCGACGTCGCGGACGTGTCCCTAGAATATGGAATGACTGGTTTTGAGTCAAGGCACATCATGTTTATGTTGGGCCCCCGAAGTGTGTCTGCTATGAGATCCTATAACAGGTCCTTTTCAACAGAACAGAATAGTTCACTGTCTTCTACACTAGCGTCCGTTACAAGTGGCGAAGCAGGTGAAATCGTCCCGGCTCGTCGACCAATCCCCTCATCGACAGTAACACATGCCAAATGCTCGAGCGGTGAGCTAGTCCTGTTAACACAGTCGCTCGACACAAGATTTCAGGATCTTTTTATTCGTCATCTGGTTGCTTAGGAAACTTAGGAAACCCCACATTTCTCGGATTCACTTTCTATCTCGTTGAAAGCGTAGCCGATGCACAACGGCTTTTTAACGGTCAGCTATCTCCACGAACACGGAATAAATTTCTGAGTTTTTGCAACTAAAATATTGGACAGGGTATTTTTGTTTTTAAATTAAGATCTACTGTCATTTTTTAAGATAATTAATGCTTGTTAAACATACTGATAATATAGATTAAATCATTAAAAAATATGCAAATTGGAACTATTTGTTTATTGCTCAACTGTGTATTTCGTCGCCGTTGACAACGCATCATCTTTCCCGCGAAAAAGGCTGCCCAGTTAATGTTGTTTTCATGACGGTGTAACGTGAAAAAAGATTTTTTTTTTCTTAATTTCAAATAATAAAAGTTGATGTGATAGAACGTAAATAAAAGGTTTGAAATACATCTTTTTAACATTTATGAGGGTATGCAACACAGTTTCGTTCAAACATCTTCTCCAAGATGCGCTAACGTGCATCATGAAATATGTTGGAACGGATCTGTGTTTCATACCCTCATAAATGTTGGAAAGATGCATTTCAAACCTTAACTAACTGGTATGTGTTAGCATTATCTTTGTATGTGTGTTATGACACACTTACTGGTATTTGGTAGCACTATCTTTGTATGTGTGTTATGACACACTTACTGGTATTTGGTAGCACTATCTTTGTATGTGTGTTATGACACACTTACTGGTATTTGTTAGCACTATCTTTGTATGTGTGTTATGATACACTTACTGGTATTTGGTAGCACTATCTTTGTATGTGTGTTATGACACACTTACTGGTATTTGGTAGCACTATCTTTGTATGTGTGTTATGACACACTTACTGGTATTTGTTAGCACTATCTTTGTATGTGTGTTATGATACACTTACTGGTATTTGGTAGCACTATCTTTGTATGTGTGTTATGACACACTTACTGGTATTTGGTAGCACTATCTTTGTATGTGTGTTATGACACACTTACTGGTATTTGTTAGCACTATCTTTGTATGTGTGTTATGATACACTTACTGGTATTTGGTAGCCCTATCTTTGTATGAGTGTTATGATACACTTACTGGTATTTGTTAGCACTATCTTTGTATGTGTGTTATGATACACTTACTGGTATTTGGTAGCCCTATCTTTGTATGCGTGTTATGATACACTTACTGGTATTTGGTAGTACTAACATTATACGTGTATTATGATACACTTACTGGTATTTGGTAGCCCTATCTTTGTACGAGTGTTATGATACACTTACTGGTATTTGGTAGCACTATCTCTGTATGCGTGTTATGACACACTTACTGGTATTTGGTAGCACTATCTTTGTATGTGTGTTATGACACACTTACTGGTATTTGTTAGCACTATCTTTGTATGTGTGTTATGATACACTTACTGGTATTTGGTAGCCCTATCTTTGTATGAGTGTTATGATACACTTACTGGTATTTGGTAGCACTATCTCTGTATGCGTGTTATGACACACTTACTGGTATTTGGTAGCACTATCTTTGTATGAGTGTTATGATACACTTACTGGTATTTGTTAGCACTATCTCTGTATGCGTGTTATGATACACTTACTGGTATTTGGTAGCACTATCTTTGTATGAGTGTTATGACACACTTACTGGTATTTGGTAGCACTATCTTTGTATGAGTGTTATGATACACTTACTGGTATTTGGTAGCACTATCTCTGTATGCGTGTTATGACACACTTACTGGTATTTGGTAGCACTATCTTTGTATGAGTGTTATGATACACTTACTGGTATTTGTTAGCACTATCTCTGTATGCGTGTTATGATACACTTACTGGTATTTGGTAGCACTATCTTTGTATGAGTGTTATGACACACTTACTGGTATTTGGTAGCACTATCTTTGTATGAGTGTTATGATACACTTACTGGTATTTGGTAGCACTATCTCTGTATGCGTGTTATGACACACTTACTGGTATTTGGTAGCACTATCTTTGTATGAGTGTTATGATACACTTACTGGTATTTGGTAGCACTATCTTTGTATGAGTGTTATGATACACTTACTGGTATTTGGTAGCACTATCTTTGTATGAGTGTTATGATACACTTACTGGTATTTGGTAGCACTATCTTTGTATGAGTGTTATGATACACTTACTGGTATTTGGTAGCACTATCTTTGTATGAGTGTTATGATACACTTACTGGTATTTGGTAGCACTATCTTTGTATGCGTGTTATGACACACTTACTGGTATTTGGTAGCACTATCTTTGTACGAGTGTTATGATACACTTACTGGTATTTGGTAGCACTATCTTTAAAGCGATGTCAAATACTTAAACTGGCCAGGAATCATTCAGATATAAATGAGTAACTGTATACTCTTTAGGGTGTTCTGCGAATACCTACGACCAGTGGTGCCCTATTGTATGGATCGTCAATAGTTAACAAATTAAAACTGTTCTGTTATTTAGGTGTATCTATATTTATTTGCCCATGCCAGTCCTCGTGTATAGATATCGATACGATAAATGTATCATACAACTATTTCCAACTCTTCTAATATAATGTATAGAAATATGATATAAAAACAACACGAAACAGAATATAATATCAAGGCTATCGTCCCTAAACAAATAAATACACACTCCTTTGTACCAGTATTCAATGTTACAAGTATTCAGATTTAAACCTTTTGAGCAGTTGTTATTTCCCAAACTAGCTATTTAATAATTGCCTCGTTACACTCAATCACTGATACTTTATTACAAAGTCAAACCGTACAATTGTTGAAGATCGAGGTCAGAGCGCTTAGTCCTCACCTAAATTAAGTTGCATTCGGGAGAAGGAATTTGGTTCATTTCAACGATGATCGTGAAAGTAACCGAGTGATCCAATATCACATAATGGCTTAAGGTAGTTCAGCAATTGACGTAAAGCTGGTGGCCTGAGGCAGCCAGGTTTCTGACGAAGCTGTGTCAGATTGCAATATAATGTTTATTAAAAGTGCCTTTTCCCGATAAAATTGCAAACTGTTCAAAATCCAACACGATGCATAAACACCAATGCAATTCAAGGAACGTTTGAAGAAAAATAGGAAGAACGCCGTTTCCCAACTGTCATAGCTACACCTAAAACCTAGCTACCTTACGTTACCTAACAAATAAAAAATCATGTAATGGCAAGAAAAGGAAATAAAAATTCACTTTTTATATTCTATTATGATTTCAATTCTTTGGATAATTTATATCGTTCAATGATAATTGGTAAATTATAGCCTATTTTTACTAGTATTCTAATTACCTTTTATATGAGGAGACTCTCTGTCCCTAAATGAGTTATTTGATTATTCTATGAGCTTAAAATACATAATGTCAATCATGTATCCTAAAGTCGAGAACACATATGTGAAATACATTTATTATATTTCTACCAATAGTGACATGACATCAGACTATGGAAACATTTTAACTTTGGCCTAGGTTTGTTTGAATTAATTGTGACACACTTTTAAAAAAGATGTTTTTATCATTGTTATGTTTCTATATTTTAAATGAAGTGCCATTCAAAACATTTACAATGAAGTTCAATTCTTTCACGATTGATTGGACAATTACGTCTCCTTAACTTAAATCTTATCTGGACAGAAGAAAAAACAATGACTCCGATTAAGTAGTATCTGTGAGAAGCTACTGGCAGGGAACTACACACCTACCTAGTGTGGGTAACTGGTGTGGCGGGTTTTATACGCGAGCACCAGTTTGGATTTATTCCCAGTTTCGTTAGGTAAGTAAAACAATTACATAACCTAAACAAATCACGATCATAGTATAATGTTGACAGTAGTGTTCTGTATTTATTGTTTGAGATATTGAATTTGATATCGAAGGGAAACCATACATAAGATATTTGCGATAGTATATATATGAGTTAATTCTTGTATTTGCATTCTGAATGACTGCACACTGGTCTGCTTTGCATTCTCAGTATGTGGAAAGGTCTTAGTAATTCAGATTATCTGCAAAGCTGTTCATCATCAATGTCTGTGGAACACTAACTATAATGTACATGTGTGACACATGCATAAAATGATTTCACTTTTAAAATTTGGTAGTAAATACAGTTCGGTAGAAAAGATACAGTTTGATGGTGGATACAGTCTTGTAGTTTGGTAGTATATACAGTTCGGTAGTAGATACAGTCTGGTAGTTTAGTAGTAGATACAGTTCGCTAGTAGATCCAATCTGGTAGTTTAGTAGTAGATAGAGTTTGGTAGTAGATACAGTCTGGTAGGGATACAGTCTTGTAGTTTGGTAGTATATAAAGTTCGGTAGTAGATACAGTCTGGTAGGGATACAGTCTTGTAGTTTGGTAGTATATAAAGTTCGGTAGTAGATACAGTCTGGTAGTAGATACAGTTCGGGAGTAGATACAATTTGGTAGTAGATACAGTTTGGTAGTAGATACAGTTCGGTAGTAGATACAATTTGGTAGTAGATACAGTTTGGTAGTAAATACAGTTCGGTAGTAGAGATACAGTTTGGTGGTAGATACAGTTTTGTAGTAGATACAGTCTGGTAGCAGATACAGTCTGGTAGTTTGGTAATAGATACAGTTTGGTAGTAGATACAGTTTGGTAGTAAATACAGTTTGGTGGTAGATACAGTTTGGTAGTAGATACAGTCTGGTAGTAGACACAGTTTGGTAGTAGATACAGTTTGGTTGTGGACACAGTTTGGTAATAGATACAGTTTGGTAGTAGATACAGTTTGGTAGTAGATACAGTTTGGTAGTAGATACAGTTTGGTAGTAGATACAGTTTGGTAGTAGATACAGTTTGGTAGTAGATACAGTTTGGTAGTAGATACAGTTTGGTAGTAGATACAGTTTGGTAGTAGATACAGTTTGGTAGTAGATACAGTTTGGTAGTAGATACAGTTTGGTAGTAGATACAGTTTGGTAGTAGATACAGTTTGGTAGTAGATACAGTTTGGTAGTAGATACAGTTTGGTAGTAGATACAGTTTGGTAGTAGATACAGTTTGGTAGTAGATACAGTTTGGTAGTAGATACAGTTTGGTAGTAGATACAGTTTGGTAGTAGATACAGTTTGGTAGTAGATACAGTTTGGTAGTAGATACAGTTTGGTAGTAGATACAGTTTGGTAGTAGATACAGTTTGGTAGTAGATACAGTTTGGTAGTAGATACAGTTTGGTAGTAGATACAGTTTGGTAGTAGATACAGTTTGGTAGTAGATACAGTTTGGTAGTAGATACAGTTTGGTAGTAGATACAGTTTGGTAGTAGATACAGTTTGGTAGTAGATACAGTTTGGTAGTAGATACAGTTTGGTAGTAGATACAGTTTGGTAGTAGATACAGTTTGGTAGTAGATACAGTTTGGTAGTAGATACAGTTTGGTAGTAGATACAGTTTGGTAGTAGATACAGTTTGGTAGTAGATACAGTTTGGTAGTAGATACAGTTTGGTAGTAGATACAGTTTGGTAGTAGATACAGTTTGGTAGTAGATACAGTTTGGTAGTAGATACAGTTTGGTAGTAGATACAGTTTGGTAGTAGATACAGTTTGGTAGTAGATACAGTTTGGTAGTAGATACAGTTTGGTAGTAGATACAGTTTGGTAGTAGATACAGTTTGGTAGTAGATACAGTTTGGTAGTAGATACAGTTTGGTAGTAGATACAGTTTGGTAGTAGATACAGTTTGGTAGTAGATACAGTTTGGTAGTAGATACAGTTTGGTAGTAGATACAGTTTGGTAGTAGATACAGTTTGGTAGTAGATACAGTTTGGTAGTAGATACAGTTTGGTAGTAGATACAGTTTGGTAGTAGATACAGTTTGGTAGTAGATACAGTTTGGTAGTAGATACAGTTTGGTAGTAGATACAGTTTGGTAGTAGATACAGTTTGGTAGTAGATACAGTTTGGTAGTAGATACAGTTTGGTAGTAGATACAGTTTGGTAGTAGATACAGTTTGGTAGTAGATACAGTTTGGTAGTAGATACAGTTTGGTAGTAGATACAGTTTGGTAGTAGATACAGTTTGGTAGTAGATACAGTTTGGTAGTAGATACAGTTTGGTAGTAGATACAGTTTGGTAGTAGATACAGTTTGGTAGTAGATACAGTTTGGTAGTAGATACAGTTTGGTAGTAGATACAGTTTGGTAGTAGATACAGTTTGGTAGTAGATACAGTTTGGTAGTAGATACAGTTTGGTAGTAGATACAGTTTGGTAGTAGATACAGTTTGGTAGTAGATACAGTTTGGTAGTAGATACAGTTTGGTAGTAGATACAGTTTGGTAGTAGATACAGTTTGGTAGTAGATACAGTTTGGTAGTAGATACAGTTTGGTAGTAGATACAGTTTGGTAGTAGATACAGTTTGGTAGTAGATACAGTTTGGTAGTAGATACAGTTTGGTAGTAGATACAGTTTGGTAGTAGATACAGTTTGGTAGTAGATACAGTTTGGTAGTAGATACAGTTTGGTAGTAGATACAGTTTGGTAGTAGATACAGTTTGGTAGTAGATACAGTTTGGTAGTAGATACAGTTTGGTAGTAGATACAGTTTGGTAGTAGATACAGTTTGGTTATAGATACAGTTTGGTAGTAGATACAGTTTAGTAGTAGATACAGTTCGGTAGTAGATACAGTCTGGTAGTACATACAGTCTGGTAGTGGACACAGTTTGGTTTGTAGATACAGTTTGCTAGTAGATACAGTTTGGTAGTAGATACAGTTTAGTAGTAGATGCAGTTCGGTAGTAGATACAGTCTGGTAGTAGACACAGTTTAGTAGGAGATACAGTTTGGTAGTGGACACAGTTTGGTAGTAGATACAGTTTGGTTGTGGACACAGTTTGGTTATAGATGCAGTTTGGTAGTAGATACAGTTTGGTAGTGGATACAGTTCGGTAGTAGATACAGTTTGGTGGTAGATACAGTTTGGTAATAGATACAGTTCGGTAGTAGATACAATCTGGTAGTTTAGTAGTAGATACAGTCTGGTAGTTTTGTTGTAGATACAGTTCGGTAGTAGATACAGTCTGGTAGGACATACAGTCTGGTAGTGGACACAGTTTGGTTTGTAGATACTGTTTGCTAGTAGATACAGTTTGGTAGTAGATACAGCTAGGTAGTATATACAGTTTGGTAGTAGATACAGTTTGGTGGAAGATACAGTTTTGTAGTAGATACAGTCTGGTAGTAGATACAGTCTGGTAGTGGACACAGTTTGGTAGTAGATACAGATTGGTAGTAGATACAGTTTGCTAAAAATTAATTACACTGCACCATGCAGCTGTTTCGTTTTTCTTGAACTCAATATGCTTTGGGCTACAAATTGGGAATCCAAGGTTTTCACAACTAGTGCTGAAATAAATGCGTAGGTTAGTAAAACACCTTGATTTATGGAATCCTAACATTAGAAGAGTACTAGTTTGGTAGTAGATACAGTGTGGTAGTTTGGTAGTAGATACAGTTTGGTAATAGATACAGTTTTGGTAGTAGATACAGTTTGGTAGTAGACACAGTTTGGTAGTAGATACAGTTTGGTTGTGGACACACTTTGGTAAAAGATACAGTTTGGTAGTAGATACAGTTTGCTAAAAATTAATTACACTGCACCATGCAGCTGTTTCGTTTTTCTTGAACTCAATATAGTTTGGTAGTAGATACAGTGTGGTAGTTTGGTAATAGATACAGTTTGGTGGTAGATACAGTTTGGTAATAGATACAGTTTTGGTAGTAGATACAGTTTGGTAGTGGACACAGTTTGGTTTGTAGATACACTTTGCTAGTAGATACAGTTTGGTAGTAGATACCGTCTGGTAGTAGATACAGTCTGGTAGTAGATACAGTTTGGTAGTAGATATAGTTTGGTAGTAGATACAGTTTGGTAATAGATACAGTTTTGGTAGTAGATACAGTTTGGTAGTGGAAACAGTTTGGTAGTAGATACAGTTTGGTAGGAGATACAGTCTGGTAGTAGATACAGTTTGGTAGTAGATATAGTTTGGTAGTAGATACAGTTTGGTAGTATATACAGTTTGGTTATAGATACAGTTTGGTAGTTGATACAGTTTGGTAGTAGATACAGTTTGGGAGTGGACACAGTTTGGTAGTAGATACAGTTTGTTAGTTGATACAGTTCGGTAGTAGATACAGTTTGGCAGTAGATACAGTTTGGTAGGAGATACAGTCTGGTAGTAGATACAGTTTGGTAGTAGATATAGTTTGGTAGTAGATACAGTTTGGTAGTAGATATAGTTTGGTAGTAGATACAGTTTGGTAATAGATACAGTTCGGTAGTAGATACAATCTGGTAGTTTAGTAGTAGATACAGTCTGGTAGTTTTGTTGTAGATACAGTTCGGTAGTAGATACAGTCTGGTAGTACATACAGTCTGGTAGTGGAGACAGTTTGGTAGTAGATACAGCTCGGTAGTAGATACAGTTCGGTAGTAGAAACAGTTTGGTAGTAGATACAGTTTGGTAGGTGATGCAGTTCGGTAGTAGATACAGTTTGGTAGTAGATACCGTCTGGTAGTAGATACAGTCTGGTAGTAGATACAGTTCGGTAGTAGATATAGTTTGGTAGTAGATACAGTTTGGTAATAGATACAGTTTTGGTAGTAGATACAGTTTGGTAGTGGATACAGTTCGGTAGTAGATACAGTTTGGCAGTAGATACAGTTTGGTAGGAGATACAGTCTGGTAGTAGATACAGTTTGGTAGTAGATACCGTCTGGTAGTAGATACAGTCTGGTA